ATATATATATGTATGTATGTATGTATGTATGTATGTATGTGTGTGTACGCATGTATGTATACATCGTGCATTTTAGCTTATACTGTATTACTACCTTGAAATTCTGTACTTATTTAATTCAAATTCATCCTACTGCACTATTATATTCTACCATGTTGTTGTTCAATACCTCTTTTTAGGAAATTGTAAATATTATAATTACTTTTTCACTTTTTGGTACTTTTTTTGTGTGTGTGTGTGGGGGGGGGTGCCTCATAACCCTTATTGCATGCTTTTAGTATTTCTTGTTGGTTTGTTCTTTGATTTATTTTAGTGAGTCAAATTAGTTCTTCTCATCCTAAGCATTTCATTGTACTGTGACCCTGTGTTAACCTCGCATACGACAAATAAACACAACTTGAACATCTTGAACTTCACAGTCAGGGTCTGCTTGGTTTATTGAATATTTGACAAAAAAAAAAGAAAAAAAGACACAAAACAAGCAAAATACCGTGCATAAATATACAGTAAAGTACATCTAGTACAAATCATAATGGAACACCATAGGATGGAAAATGAGTACAAAGCAATGCAAAACAGAGATAAAAAGACTGATGAGCTGTTGCCGCCATCTGCAGACAAAAGTGTGAAACTGCTACAATCGTTAAAGCCGAATCTAAAAATAATAAGCTGTTATCGTGTTAGCTCTTCAAAATAGTTTAACCCAGTAATATATTATTAATAATATGTTGCTTAAGGATGACAGGAAAGTGGGACCATGCGTCTGAGCATGCGCGTTCTCTCTGACGTCATACGCATGCTCGCTGTGCATGCCCTCCTTTCTGAGCCAATCCTGCTCGCGATAAACACAACGTTGCGTCATTGTTATTGTGGCTGTGGAAGCTACGACAGCTCGCGGACTTTTCGCCATCATTTCACCGTCTCTTTAAAAAAAATAAAATAAAAGTGCGAACCCGAAAACCTTGTAGAGTAATGTCGCTTCAGAGGGACGTTTCGTCTGACGGGAGTTTGCAAGGTAAAGTTGAGACGGAAATAGTAGGAAAGCTACGTTAAATAAGCTAACAGTACTCCGTCAAAAGGAGAAGAGTGGAGGCTAATTAACGATACATGTATAAAATATACCAATGCCTCACTTGTAAAATGGAACATTGCTTAAGCTATGTATACTGATTTATTTTCCCACAATAGCTGAATCCAAAGGTGGACAGGCTAGCGAAGCCGTCTTGTTATTGTTCTATTAGCTCATTACGCCACTGGAAGGCAACACACACACTCGACTCTGTTTATTTTAAGGCTCCTGGGTGGAGCTGCACTTCAGCGGGAACGGCTCTCAAGGTCCAAGTCATCGAGGCAGCCAGGAGCAGATCTCCACGTCCGGCCAGGAGGGCGACGTGGAGAAAATGCTGCTGGACGCACAGCACGAGTCAGGCAGAAACAGCTCCAAGGGAAGCTCTCAGTGCAACAGGTTCGTGTGAGAGGGGATGCAACTGTGCTTGTGTCAGCATTTGTTGTGTAATAGTGTTATCCAAGGAAATGTATGGGTTAAAGTCTTTATGTTATATCATCAACAGCCCACTGAGATCACAGACCCCCCTTTTTCTGTGGAAAGGCTCAGAGGGAAACAGCTCACAGGTACATGATGTATTGTCATGCATTTAAATTGGGGTTTAATTATTAAGGTGTAGTTTTCAAAAATAGTTGGCTCGCTGTCAACCTTTTGACCGACATGTACCAGCAGGAAAAGCTCAGCGCCGTGCCCCCAATCTCACATTATGCAACCGTCATTGATATAATTCGCCCGCAGCCAAAAGGCGAAGGCAGACAGTGATGTTGTTACCCACGTTTGTGAGTGTGTGTCTTTCTGTTACCAAAATATATCTCATGAACAACTGGACAAATTCCATCGGAACGTGCAGAAATTATTCAGTGGATCCAGATAAACAGTTGGTTTATTTTTGAAGTCAAGTTCAAGATAGTTGCCACAGCCAACTGAACTTATAAACTCGGTCAGTTTTTCAAATCTAGACCTAACGTGCAGTGTGGTAGTAGCAGAGAATGTTGATATTCTGATCGTGAACAGATTGCAGAAAATGTTTAAAATGTTGTCATGAACTGGTGATAGAATGGACAATGATCAATTTTCCAACGTTGTTTTGTCTTTTTAAAAGAACAGTTGCGCAAGTGGCTCACTATGGGCGTCTGTGAAAAGTGTTAGTGTCAACCCTGTTTGTCTGTGAGCAAAGTACCTCATGAACCTCTGGGTGGATTTTAATGAAATGTTCTGATAATCATTATGTAGTGAACCAGATAACCTCAAATCTACCAGATGGACAGAGACTGTTATTTTCATTGATCTGAATAAGTCTGAACCATCTGATGAACTTTCTTTCTTGAATTAATCAAGCAGAAAAGACAATTCTTTATAATCATTACTGTCTTACAAATGTTTTGATAATCAAATTGTGTTAGTTCACTCAATGCTTTACAGGTTGAAAAGAACTACTAATTTTTATTTTACATAAACAGTAAGTAATGATTTTTGTTCCTCATTCAGAGAAGAAATCACCTGAATATGCCTTTCTTGATTTTAAATCTGAAATGAGCAAGCTGTCGTAAGTATGTTAAAGGTTGGTTTTCGGTCAACTAAAATGTTTACCGAGAAAAATGTCATGTTTTACTATTTGAAAAGATTACAAAGTGTGAGACTCCACGAAGTCTGCTGTTGCTGCAATAATCTTTTCTGTATGTTGTAAACAATCCTTGACTTATGATAACATCTTACGTCACAAATCCACTCCTCTTTCTGGTCCTTCCACGAATCAGAAAGCTCTAAATTGAACAGGAAGTCGACCCATTTAAAATGTGACAACTGCCCAGTTCATGTTAGATTCCAATAGAGAAGAGAAGGAATAGAGAATTATGGATTCCAGAATTCCAAGAGAATGAGAGTTCTGAGAGATGTTGGAATGAGAGCTGACAACAGGTCCGATAGTCCAACAGAATGAGCAGATTGAGAGTGCAGCCGGTTATGAAGAGTTTGGAGTTATGAAGAACCAGGAACGTTTGGGATTATAATTCTGTTTTGAGCTAATCAACGCACGACTTTCTGAAGGTTTGGTAGCTCTCGACGGAGACGCTGAAACGAGTCAGAAAGGAACTACATCCAGCGCTGATTCATCGTCAACAGGTAGATGGTTCTATTTTGACCAAGTGTACCGTGAGAAGCTGAGGATCTGACGAAGCGTGCAATTTCTGGTTAAACAGATTAAACTTCCCTCACACAGTTCTCTGTAAGATAATCTCCTTTCACTCTAAAACCCACCTCTCTCTCATAAATCAGTACAGATATTTTTAGAAATGTCTGAAGCAAAGTCCTCAAATCACCGCCGAGTGATTTGAAGTTCATTTTCTGTGAAACTGTCTGTTATTATTTTCATATTTTGCCAAATTAATGTAAATGTTTGATGTTAAACTTTGATTTTGAAAATAAATGATTCCATTCATTTGATGGGTCAAAGATAAATAACGTCTCTCGTTCACATTTCTGTTAAATTCAATGCACGGCATTTACAGTCAGAAAAATGAAGAACTCGTGAAAAGTATGCATAAATATATACACATATATTTGTCATACAACAAGTGACACGTACCTCACGTGTCTCACTACAATTACATGTAAGTCCACAACTGATTAACTTCTGAATCCAATCCAGTTAGAAATGGACAATACAACCAACTGATCTAAAAACATCTCTATAATTCTCACAGTTATATAAATATTTGTGCAAAATTAGATGTGTTTGTAGTTGACACATGCTTCAGGTGCTTGAGATCTTTGCTTACAACGATAGCAATGGCTGATGGAGTCAACCCAGTCTGTCTGATAGCAAAATACTGTGTAAACCACTGGATGGATTTTAATAAAACTCAGAACTAATCACTGGATGTAGATCTACAACTGATCAACCTTTGAGTCAACCTAATTCATGATGGCTGCCTCAGTTAAATGACATCAGCTAACACAACAGATATAACAGTCAATATTTCAGATATTGAGCTAAACTTTGATAGTAGTGGAGACTTAAGGCTCCAGTATACTGCCGCGTACGTCCGTTCATGTGTACGTACGCGTCGTGTACGGTATGCAGAGGGTTCAGACATGATACTCCAGCGTACACCCCGAGCAGCTGCAGAGCAGCTTCACAGACAAGGGGCGTTTACCTTCGGGAAAAATTAAGGTCGCCGATTGGTCATTTGCTGACACGCCTACTGGATTGATTGACAGGTCGGAAAAAAGAAAAAAAGCGAGCGCTGGCAGCCTCAGCCACAGTGGTGTTCTGTGTTTATATGTTGTTAATAAAAAGATCTTAAAAAAAAAAAAAAACAGGGAGTGCTGGCTCTACAGCCCACACATCAGAGCAGCCCACCAGGAAATCTCCAGACCCTCCAGCAGCCACGCTGGACCTGAGTTTAATTTGCTCGTGACAAATTCCTTCATTTCTCACCATTTCAGTCATGGCATCAACGGAGGAGGAAGAGATCACTGCCTCTTGGCAAAAAAACTAAAGAAAAGGCCAGATCAGAGATGAAGAAGGGGAATTTAATACATTGGTGTCGCATACAAAACAGTCCGTCGCTGGGCAGTTTATTGTGCGACACCGCGTACGCGGTCGTAAAAATTTGAGCTTTTCACGGAGGGTACGCTGGAGGGTACACACGTACCTCTGCGTAAGTACGTGCGTACCTCTGCGTATGGATGTACGCGGCAGTATACTGGGGGCTTTAGTCCCAACACAAGCACTGATCATGACATCTTGCAACGTCACACGAGACTGTACAATCTTTGAAGTGTTTCTCCCCACACCTCCAACACCTTCCTGAGGGTTATCATGCCTCCTAGACAACTCCACCCCTCCTCCTCCTCATCAACATAATGGACCCCAGCTGCAACCCCCTTCACATAACACCCCTCCCCCTCTACCATCATTGTCTTTCCATAACACATCAGAGCACCATCAGCAGGGAGGACGTGAGGGAGGGAGCTCAGCCGTCTACATCCAGACAAGTCTACAAGTCCGGATAGATTGAGCCCCAAACTCCTGAAAGGATGTGCGGCTCAGCTGTTTGATGTTTTCAGGCACATTTTTTTTTGCCTGAGCACGAGGGTGGTGCCTGCTCTGTGGAAAACAACATGCCTGGTCCCGGTGCAGAGAAACAACCAACCAAACTCACACAATGACTACAGACCTGTGGCCTTGACATCACATGCCATGAAGTCACTGGAGGCTGGTCCTTAAGCATGTTAGACCAGTGGTGGAAACATACCTGGACCTGCTCCAGTTCGCATACCAGCCACGCATTGGATATGATGACACCATCCTCTACTTGCTGCACAGAGCAGGCAGCACTGTAAGAGTCATGCTCTTTGACTTTTCCAGTGCTTTTAACACCATGAGTCCTGCTCTACTCTGCAGTAAGCTCCTGGACATGCAGGTGAATGACTCGCTGGTCACCTGGATCAGAGACTACCTCACAGGTCGACCACAGTATGTGAGGCTGCAGAACACCACCTCGGACACCATACTGAGCAGCACAGGGGTTCCTCAGGGGACGGTCCTCTCACCGTTTCTGTTCACCCTCTACACCTTGGACTTCAAGGTATATCTCAGAATCCTTCCATCTGCAGAAGTTCTCGGATGACTCTGCCATTGTGGGCTGCATCACTGGTGACCAGGAAGCTGAATACAGAGGTGTGGTGGACAGAACCACCTGCAACTCAACGTTGGAAAAACTAAAGAGCTGCAGGTGGACTACAGGAAGAAGATTGGCCCCCCAACCCCATCAACATCAAGGGTACTAAGGTGGACACTGTGGACTGCTACAAGTACCTGGGGGTCCACCTAGACAATAAACTGTACTGGACAGCCAACACCAACGGTCTCTACAAGAAAGGACAGTCGCCTTTTTCTTCTGAGGAGACTCAAGTCCTTTAACGTCTGCAGGACCATGCTGCAGATGTTTTACCACTCGCTGGTCTCTAGCATCGTCTTCTACGCTGTGGTGTGCTGGGGCAGCAGGGTGAAGAAAGCTGGAAAGAAAGTGATTTGTAGACATGGGCACCGGCGACCCCCATGACCCAAAATGGAAGAAGCGGGTAAAAGATAATGGATGGATGGATCAATAAAGTTCTTATCTTTAGCTAAAATAGCTACATCTCTGTCATTTCTCTTCATAGGTTGTTCTTAGATTAAATCTCTGGCATAAAAGGTTGTGGGCGATACACATTTCTTTTAGAAGTGTTTAATTTTAATACTCTTTTCTCCTACTGTGATTTATGAACATATAGCTCTATAAAATTCTTTATATGGAGTTTTACAGCATAATGTTGTTTAAAGTATTTTTGAAGGCAAGTCTTTGACATCAGTGTGTTTTGACTAGGGCATTAACAGAATACTCGAGTAATCTACACATCGATTGCTAGGACCTCTATCGAGGTTAAAAATGTAAGGTCGAGTATCCGTAGTGACGTCATATGATGTGACCACCGTATGACCGTAGGGGGCGGTGTTGCACTGTTGCAGGTCACAGAGTATGGTGTAACATCGGGTCCAATCCACAGAACCAGTTTCGGTTTAAGTTTCGTTTTTGACGTGCTGCATGTTTCTTCATGTTTGCAGTTTAATAATAATAACTAATAGTTTAGTTTTTCCTGTGACTTATTTGCAGTATGATAAATGGTAGGCGCATAATATCCGCTCCCAATGTTTTGTTGGTCTTTTTTTTTTTGTAAATAATTACCTTTTTTTGCGGTTATATTAATTTATTTATTTTTGTATCTTGAGATCTATGACGTCATCAAATACTCGAGTTCTACTCGGGTTTTATTATGTTAATGTCGAGTTTAAAAATTATGTACTCGTTCAACCCCTAGTTTTGACTAAGTTAAATTATATATTTTTTTAAACCCTCTCTTTTCAGTCTGATGAAGACTTCCAAGAGAGAAGACGGGAAGTAGAAAACATCATGAAGAAAAACGCTGACTGGATCTGGGACTGGTCCAGTCGACCTGAGAACAGTCCACCAAAGTAAAGAGTTGTTTTTGTTAACACTGTTGTTGAAATATTTAGGTCAGAGTCTGAGTCAATAGTGTGAAGGCAACCTGCCAGCAAGACATAAAGTTGAAACAGACTGCTTGTTTTTCTTCATATATGATGTTTATTTGTGATTTGTAGACTTTAGACTGGCCTCTGTGTGAGCAGAAGTGTTAGCATGACATTAAACTGGAGCTCATTGATCTTTAATCTATTCAAAAAGAGTGAATTATTAATGTGCTCCTCTGCAGGGAGTTCCTGCTGAGGTACCCCAAGCGCTCAACCTCTCTCAGCATAAGAAACACCAGCGTCATGAAGAAGGGAGGCGTTCTCTCTGCTGATTTTCTGAAGCTTTTCCTTCCCTCATTAATCATTTCTCACATACTTGCAGTTGGCATCGGGTAAGTTACTGGATTTCATTCCTAATGCTGGGAATATTGGGGAGCCTCACAAACGAAAAAATACTGTATTTTTGGCTGCAGCTAATGTAGTTTTTTACATGAAGGTATTTGCCACATGGATGAAAAATGTTCTTTAGATCTTATAAAAAAATATAAAAATAAGACTTTATATTGATATTTATCACCATCAACGATACAAACAAATACAATATGAACTAGAGAAATTGCATTTCCTGTGAAAATGCAGCGTGAATGTTTATTGCTGAAAAACATGCTAAAATGAGCTAAAACATGCTGAAATGTAGCTGAAATGGAACAAGCCTAAGTTAGGAGAAGCAGAAAGAACACATATTTACTGAATTAGGTTTAAATAGGCAGAAATGAGCACAAAAAATAGTAAATTAGCTTAAAAAATTAGAAAAAAAACCAAAAACAGCTGCAAGGACAGAAAGAAGCTTAAACTACCAGAAAGAAGCAGAAATAGCTGAAATGGGCAAAAAAAATATGGAATTAGCTGTAAAGGCTAAAATTTGTATAAAACAGCTAAATAGTAGCTGAAATAGAAAAAAAGCTGAAAGGAACATAACAAGCTAAAATTACCATAAATAAGTAAAGTAGGCTGAAAGTAGCAAAAATCACCACAAAAAATAGAATTTATTTGAAAACAGCTGAAATTAGCTAAAAAGCTAGCTGAAAAGTTAAAACAAGCTTAAATTAGCAGAGGAAAGCAGAAATAACACATTTGCCCAATTAAGCTGAAAGACGCAGAAATTAGCACAAAATGTGGAAATTATCAGGAAAAAATGTGAAATTAGCAAAAAACATCTGAAATGAAGCTAAAAATGCAGAAAGAAGCTGAAATTACAAGTGGCGAGAGCACATTTTTACTGAATTAGGTTGAAAAAAGTTGAAATGATGTCGAATGTGAAATTAGCTGAAAAAGCTAAAATTAGCAACAACATCAGAAAAGCTACATAGTAGCTGAAATAGCAGAAATAAGCTGAAAGGAGCATAACAAGCTGAAATTAGCAGAAATAAGTTACAAGAAGCACAAAAAAATTTGTAGTTAACAGAAAGAACCTGAAAGGAGCACAAAACTGCTGAAAAAAACAGTTAAAATTAGCTGAAAGTAGCTAAAAAAAATTTTGAATTATGCACAAAGAAGCTGAACCAAAACAAAATGTGAAAGGAGCAGTAAAAGTTTGTAAACAGATCTAAAGATCTGAAGGATGTAAAATGAGCTCAATTCATTTTCTATATGGAAAAACAATATCAGAAAAGACTACATATTTCAAAAAGTTAAAGTTGCACCAACACCAAAAGTCATAGCAGGATTGTCCTGAAAGAGCTGAACATTTTTCAATATATGATTTGTTGAAATAGCTTCAAACCTGCGGTACGAGAAAGATGCCGAAAAACATTCGGAAGAAAAATGGATCACAATTAACTAAGAGCAGATACTAATGTCCTAATTCAAGCTGGTTTATCCCAGGCTTTTGCTAGAATCTGATGTGCTTTGCCAATAAATATATATAAAAAAAAGTTATATTTAAAACAAGCTTAAAAAGTATGTTGCTTTACTTTGTTTTCAGGATATATATTGGCAAACGCCTAACATCCCATCACACCTACTGAAGAGATGTTAGGACCGCTGCACAACCAGCTTGGCATGCCTTAAAACGGGACCTGAAGACTGAGGGGAGATGATGTGCAGTTTTGACTGAGTGCCCCACACCAATAAGGAGGTTCAAGACCTCTCGTTGCTGTGTTGTTGCCTCTGAACACATCAGTGACCAGTCCACTGCTTCTTGCTGTAGTTCCTGTCCTGGAGATTTCAGTTTTGCTGCTTACTGCACCTTAAATCTGCACGTTGGGGAGAACTTCTTTTAATTCACCTTTGTGATTGAACTAAAATGGGGTTTGATTGTTTTGCTGTCAAATATTTTTGATTACCTGCGGAAGAAGGAGATGCGTGTGTGCAAGGAATCACGTCCAATAATGACTTCCAATTTGTACATTAAATCGTGACTGTATAGTTAAATATTAGCCTGATTAGTGCTCATTTGTTCAGGAGATAGAATCACTGACAGCCTGATAGTTTTACCAATGAGAGCTTTGCAATAAAAGGAAAGGAATAGCTGCGGATGAACACAATTAAAATTTTATTGAACTTTGGTCAAAAATAATAAACAAGTGAATACATTGCCACCATGTTAGGAATCAATGGACAAAGACAATGCGTTGTGTTTTAATGTCATCAGTATATGTTTTGTGTAGTTAACCATGTCTGCATTCACAACTACGAAGATCCACATTTGTGATATGCGGTTCCAATTTTAGGTGGCATCCCTAATAAATGGAAAAAAACAAAAAGAGCACATGTATGAGGCCTGTCTTTAATTCCTACTTATTACAAGATCTGGAGGCACTCATAACATAAACTATGTGTGGTGTGCAATTTCCCCCATTTATGAGTTTCCGTAGACAGCTACATTATAGCAGCAGTGTATGAGGACATAGGTCTATAAAACAGGATTTACAAATAATGCACATGAGGTTCGTAAAACGTTTGGGGACATAACCTGTAGCTGTCTGATAAAAGTAGGCATTAAGGCTGCAGATTCCCTTTGTCCTGGACTCCGTCTTGTGCCTTTCAGTTTCCAGCCTTCATTCTAAAACATGGCCGTCATAATCTCTTATTATTTTCATGGTTTCTAATGGTGGCTCTCAATCTGTCACCCCAAATTGTATTTCCCTTAGAAATTAGCTCGAGATCTGCTGAAGACAGTGGTGCGACTGAACTTTTTTTTTTTTTTTCACCTCTCTACAACATAAAAAAACATGCAAAGCAATAAACATGTTTTAATACTATACTTCTAAATTTAAAAACACATCTGTAAGTTTTAGTTTCTTTTATTATGTGGATGACAAGGTGTACTTGAGTAGATACAGTCAGTGAAATGATGTCACTGTATTAAATGGGGTAAAATAAGAGAAGGGAAGGAAGAGAAACAAGTCCACTTTCCAAACTCATTGCCTTCTCCACCATTAGTTTGACCTAAATAAAGGCCAAATGGGGGGAATGTTACAGCTGGGCTTATTGGCCGTTAATCCGTGCCTCACAGGACCCGAAAACCTTTGAATGATGGAAACAACGTTGACAAGACGTCATTGTACGGACTTCCAAGAGTTCTGTTGTTAAATCGTGAAATGAAGGCTTAAAATGTCAACACAAACACCAACGTTCAAGAGTTTGACCTCTAGGGAGTGCCATTCCGTCAATTAGACCCGAATTGGGCTTTCTGGGTCAGGGGGCGTGTTGACTGCCCTGGTGCCAAAGGCAAAAAGCAATCTAAGCTCATACTCAAAAAATAAAACAGACCTATGGATCAACCTCCCGCGGCAAAAAAAGTAGACACGTGCTTTCGAATTCTTCACCAGGAGGACAACGAGGCTGTTTCTTCTTATACAGATAAGACAAGTAGTAGGCTTAACTACACAGGTATGGTAAAAGCCCTATCCTCTGGAGCCCAAAATCTTTTAGTTGATTTTGTCCTGGAAAATGTACAAGTTGTTGGTGGCTGCCACAGCTATCACGTTCTCTTTGGGGTGCCAGGCAGTGTGGAGGATTTTCTTGTTGAAGTCCAGGCTGTCCACGCTGATCTCGTCCTTCTTCCTCTTGCCGCCTGTGGACACTTTACGAGGTTTGAGCGTAGCCCGTGGTTTGCTGCTCTCCCGGGACGCCTCCAGTGTGATATCCCGCCTGGTGTTGCGGTCAAACATTCGGAAGAAGTTGTTGTAGGAGCCAGTCATGATGGCACTAACGAAGAAAAAAACAAATTGATTATACTGTAGTCCCTCTCTACTTGGTGGTTCGTTTTTGGCGGACTCGCTCTATCGCGGTTTTTCAAAGTAAGCTCGGACATGACACACAATTGGCTGATTGATGGATGAGCTGCACGAACGGCATGGGATTTTTATTTAAAATAAATTATTTTCAATTGTTTAGCACCAGTGTGCAGCCCAAGCTGCAGGAGGAAGCTTCTTCGTGCAGAGTCAGATCTCCGCTCTGCAGCGGATAAGTGGGCGTGGCCAAGATTGCTGGCAGGTGGCAGAAAGCTGAGATCATGACATGCTGTGCTCTTTTAGAGCGTTTAGTTTAGAAACATTGTTTAGAATATTGCAAGAGTGTGGGAAGGGTTTAAAACACCTT